CCGCCTCTTCCCCTGTTCCCTCTCCCCTCTGCCCTCTTCGCCCCTCTTGCCCGCTCTTCCCCTCATTCCCACTGCTTTCACCTCTCCCTCTCCCCTCTTCCCCTCTTCCCCTGTTCGCCGCGCTCTTGCCCCGGTGCTTCGCGCCCTCTTCCCATCATTGCCCTCTTCCGACTCTTCCCGCTCTTGTCCCGCTCTTCCCCTCTTCCCTCTGTCGCCGTCTTCCTGCCTGCTTCGCCCTCTTCCCGCCTAGTTGGCCCCTCTTCCCATCTGTCCCTCTTCCCATCGTTGCCCTCTCCGCCTCTATCCGCGCTGCTTCCCCTCTTCACCTCTTCCCTCTCTTCGCCCGCTCTTGCCCCTTGCTCCCCTCTTACCCCTCTTCGCCGCGCTCTTCCGCCCTCTTGTCCCCTCTTCCGCGGTCTTCCGGCCTGGCTTCCCCTCTTCCCCTCTTCCCTCTACTTCCCGCTCTTCCCCTCTTCCGCGGCGTCGTTTGCCCCTCTCCCTCTTCCCCAGTCTTCCCTCTTCCCCTCTTCCCCTCTTGCCCTCTTCCGACGGCTCTTCGCCCTCTTGCCCTCTTGCCGCCTCTTCCCGCTCTTTCCCCTCTTCCGGCCTCTTTCCCTCTCCCGCTCATTCCCCTCTTCCCCTCATTGCGCCTGCATTGCCCCTCTTGCCCATGTATGCCCTCTTGCCCTCTTGCGCCTCGTGCGCCTGCTGCCTCGTGGTGCCGCTCTTGCCGCTCCTGCCCTCTTGCCCTCTTGCCCTGGTTGCCGCTCGTTGCCGCTCTTTGCCCTTCTTGCCCTCTTGGCCCTCTTGCCCTCCGTTGCCCTCTGTGCCTCTTGCCCTGCTTGCGCCTAACTTGCCCTCCTTGGCCCCTCTTGCCCTTTTCCGGTTGCCCTCTTGCCCGTCTTGCCTCTGCCCTCGTGCCCATCGATTGCCCTCCTTGCCTGTTGGCCCTCTTTGGCCCATCGTTGCCCATCTTGCCCTCTGCCCTCTTGCCGACTCTTGCGCGCTCTTTGCCCTCTTGGCCCTCGTTGCCGCTCTTGCCCTCTTGCCGCTCTTGCCCTCTTGCCGCTCTTGCCCTCTTGGCCTCGTTGCCGCTCTTGGCCCTCGTTGCGCCCTCGTTTGCCTCTTGCCCTCTGCGCCTCTTGCCCTCTTGCCCTCTTGCCGCTCTTTGGCCCTCTTGCCCTCTTGCCCCTCTTGGCCTGCTTGCGGCCCTCTTGCCCTCATGCCACTCTTGCGCCTCTTGCCCTCTTGCGCCTCTGCCTCTTCCCTCGTTGCCCTCTTGCCGGCTCTTGCCCTCTTGCGCCTGCGTTGGCCCTTCTTGCCCTCGCTTGCCCTCTTCGCCCTGCTTTGCCCTCTTGCCTCTGCCCTCTTTTGCCTTTCGTTATGGCCCTCTTGCCGCCTCTTTGCCCCCTCGTTGCCCTGCTTCCCCTGCTTCCCCTCTTCCCCTCTTCCCCGTCTTGGTCCCCTCCTCCCCTCTTCGCCCTCTTCCCTCTTCCCGCTCTTCCCCTCTTCCCCTCTTTCGCCTCTTCTCCCTCTTCGCCCCTCTTCCCCTATTCCCCTCTTCCCCTCTTCCCCTCTTCCCCTCTCCCCATGCTTCCACTCTTTCCGCCCTCTTCCGCCTCTTCCCTCTTCGCCGCTCTTCCCGCTCTTCCCCCTCTTCGCCTCTTCCCCTCTTCCGCCTCATTCGCCCCTCTTCCCCGCCTACTTCCCCTCTTCGCCCTCTTTCCCCTCTTCCGCCTCTTCCCCTCTTCGCCCTGCTTCGCCCTTCTTACCCGCTCTTCCGGCCCTCTTCCCCTCTTCCCCTTCTTCCCTCTTCCCGTCTTCCCACTCTTCCGCCTCTTTCCCAGCTCTTCCGCGCTCTTCCCCTCTTCCGCCTCTTCCGCCTCTTCGCCGCTCTTCCTCTTACCCGCTTTCCCCCCTCTTCCGCCGCTTTCGCCGCTCTTTCGCGCCTCTATCCGCGCGTCTTCGGCCCTGCTTCCCCTGCTTACCCTCTTCCCTCTGCTCGCCCTCTTCCCTCTCCCGCCTCTGCCCCTCCTCCCCCCTTCTCGATGACCTGACGCCGCTCTGCCCCCTCATCACACCTCTGCGTGCTCCTCTTCCCCTCTCTCCCTCTCCCGCCTCTCGCCGGCTTCTCCTCGCCTCTGCCACTGTTCCGCTCTCCCCCCGCCTCGTCGCCTCTGCCCTTCTCCCCGCTCTCCCGCTCTCCCGCATCTCCCGCCTCCTCTCTCTCCTCATCGTTAGTGCAGTTGCGGTCTAGCCTAACTGGTTTCTCGTCCTTCGTGGCGCACGAGCGAGAAATTAGACGTGCAGCTTTGAAATTTGGATTTCAGCGCGTTCAGCGTCTGCTAGCTGGCGCCTGCGTGCGTGCGTGCGCTGCGTGCGTGCGCGCGCGTGTGTGTGTGTGTGTGTGCGTGCGTGCGCGTGTGTGTGTGTAGTGCGGTGTACGGTTGTTGTGCGTGCTGTGTGTGCTGTGTACGTGTGCGTGTAGCGTGTGCGTGGTGTGTGTGGGCGTGTGTGTGTGGTGTGCGCGCGGTGTGGTGTGCGTGGGTACGTGTGTGTGGCGGCGCGTGTGTGTGTGTGTACGATGTGCGTGGTACGTGTGCGTGTGTGTGTGCGTAGTGTGTGTGCGTGGCGTGTGTGTGCGCGTGCGGTGGTGGCGTGCCTACGGACCCGCGAGGTATCTACGCGTGGGAGGGCGCGTACGCTCGCTCTCTCTCTCTCTTTCTCTGCCATCTAGCTCTCTCGCTCCTGCCTTCTGCATCTCATTCCTCGTCGCCCGCTTCCCTCTCCATCCTAATGGCCCTCTCCCTTAGCCCTTGACGAGTTCCTTTTTTCAACATCTCGCCACTTCGCCTTCTCCCCGGCTTCTTGCTCCCGTTCGCCGTTTCATCCGGCGTTCCCCTTCCTGCTGCTCTTCCCTGCCTCGCTTTTAGCAATCCTGTCTTTCTGAGAAGTCCTGTCTTTTTCCTCAGGTTCTCTGCTTTCTCTACGCATCTCTTCATGAGTCGGTACATACCGAATCTGTCCATGCATCGACTAATTAGCATGTCTTTCTGCTCTGCGAATATTTTTCACGAGGTGATTAATTCCGATCATCGTATTAAAATAGAGGATGAAAAAGAGAGAGAGAGATGAAGAGAGAGAGATAACGAGAGAGAGATGAAGAGAGAGAGAGAAAGAGAGAGAGAGAGGATAGCAAGAGCTGAATGACAGAAGAGAGAGAGAGAGAGAGAGAGAAAGAGAAGAGGGAGAGAGCAGAGAAGAGAGAGAGAGAGAGAGAGAGAGCGAGAGAGCGAGAGAGAGCGAGCAGAGCGAGAGTAGAGCGAGAGAGAAAGAGATGAAAGAGAGAGAGAGAGAGAGAGAGAGAGAGGAAAGAGAACGAAGAAAGGAGAGAGAGGGGGGAGAGAAGGAACCGAGAGATGGGAGGGAGGGGAGAGTAAAGGAGAGAGTGGCAAAATGATGGAGATGAGAGAATAGAAGATTATATAGAAGAGAGAGAGCGAGAGAGAGAGAGAGAGAGATAGAGAGGAAGAAAGAGAACGAAGAAAGGAGAGAGAGGGGGGAGAGATAAGGAACCGGAGAGTATATGGGGACGGGGAGGGGAGAAGTATAAACGGAGAGAGTGGCAAAGATGGAGATAGAGATCCGAGATAAGAGAGAGAGAGAGAGATGAGAGAAGAGAGAGAACAGAGAGAGAGAGGGGGAGAGAGAGGAGAGAGCAGAGCGAGAGAGGGAGAGAAGAGGAGAGTAGAGAGAGAGAGAGAGCAGAGAGGGAGAGAGAGAAGAGAGGAGAGCGGAGAGAAGAGAGAGAGAGAGAGAGAGCAGCAGGCAATATAGCGGAAGCAAACCGTGATTTAGAGGTCGGATCTAGGGTACAACTGCACCAGGCGGCTGGCGGCAGCGGCAGCGGCTGTGAATTAACGTTAAACCACGGTCAGACTGCATGGGCGTAGAGGAGAGAGATGAAGATATGATATTATGTGTGTGTGTGTGTGTTGTGTGTGTGTGGGTGTGTGTGTGTGTGGTGTGTCGTGTGTGTGTTAATGTGTGGTGTGTGCTGTGTGTGGTGTGTGTGTGTGATGTGTGTGTGGTGTTGTGTATGTGTGTGTGGTGTGTGTGGTGTGTGTGTGTGTGTGTTGTGTGTGTGTGCGTGCGATGCGTGTGTGTGTGTGTTGTATGTGGTGTGTGTGTGTGTGGTGCTGTGGTGTGGTGTTGTAGTGTGTTGTATGTGTGTGTGTGTGTGTGTGTTGTGTGTGTGTGTGTGTGTGTGGCGTGTGGTGTGTGTGTGTGTGCGTTGTGATGTGTGGTTGTGTGGGTGTGTGTGTGTGGAGGGAATGGCTAAGCAATCCATGAAGTCTGCTAATAGCGGCGAGCGACGACAAAGCGGATGATGGAGGCGAGTAGCTGTGAGAAGGGGTGATCGGGGGAGTGAGGCGAGGGGGAAGAGAGAGAGAGAGAGAGAGAGGAGAGAGAGAGGAGAGAGATGAGAGACGGGAGAGAGGAGAGAGATAGGAAGAGTAGAGAAGAGAGAGAGAGAGAGGAGAGAGAGGAAGAGAGAAGGAGAGAGACGAGAGAGAGGGAGAGAGAGAGAGGAGAGAGATGAAGAGACGGGAGAAGAGAGCGAGAGATAGGAGAGAGAAGGTGAGAGAGAGAGAGAGAGAGGATGGGAAGAAAAAGAGGGAGAGAGGGAAGAGAGGAGAGATAGATAGAGAGAGATAAGATAGAGAGAGAGAGAAAAAGAATAGAGTAAAGAGGGAGAGAGAGAGAAGAGAGAGAGAGGTGGATAGAGAGAAAGAGAGGAGAGAGAGAGAGGAGAGAAGAGAGAGAGGGGAGGAGAGAGGGGGGGGGGTGAGAAACTGAGGGGTGGGGAGGCAACCAGCGACAGAAATACAGAGAGCCGACAAAATCCTACGTGATTAGATGTTCGCTACATGCAAGCTATTGAGAAGGAGAGAAAGAGAGAAGCAATAAGAGGGGGAGGTGAGAGAGAGGAGAGGGTGCGATAGTGGGGGGGGGGGTAGGAAAGAGAGTGAAAGAAAGGCTTGAGAATGTGTGTGTGTGTGTGTGTGTGTGTGTGTGTGTGTGTGTGTGTGTGTGTGTGTGTGTGTGTGTGTGTGTGTGTAGTGTGTGTGTGTGTGTGTGTG